TTGGGGCAAAGCCCCATTATGTTGTTCTTCACCATCTGGCTTCAGATGCACATATCACAGGAAGTACTTATCACAAAGTGGGATAAATAAAGTGCCAGATTTCTGGCCAAAGGACCAAAAAGAAAAGCCCCAAAGGAACTAAAAAGTACTGAGAAGACCACAGAGAGGGAAGAACTTAGAAAAATTCCATAAAATTGTTTATGAGCTGGTAGATTTACCTCTGGGCATGTATGATTCTGACACTGAACAGTATACCATAGACTTAGAAAACTAAACTGTGAGATATATCATTGCCCTGATCTCACACTGGTCCCTGAGTAGGATACACATGGGATGGATCTGAAAGGCCCTGCAAAGATTGACAATGGAATGGATACTGAAATCACAACCTACAGAAGGCAAGTCAGAATTTGCTGCTTAACCCCAATAAGACTGGCTCCTGCTAAAATAAAAATATCAACATTCTCGAGGCACCTGAGTGGCTCAGTCAGTTGAATGTCCAACTCTCACTTCAACTCAGGTCATGGTCTCATGGTTTATGGGATCAAGCCCACTTTGGGCTCTATGCTGACAGTCTGGAGCCTAAGATTCTCCTTGCCCCTCCCCTGATCATTCTCTCTCTCAAAAAATAGACAAACATTTTTAAAAACTATATCAACATTCTCTATGGAACTTTAAATGAAAACTGAAGTCTTAGAACATAATAATCAAAATGACCAGGATGCAATTAAAAAATTTCTCTGCATATGAAGAACCAGAAAAATCTCAATTTGTATGGAAAAAAAATCAGATGACGCAAACGTTAAGTTATCCAACAATAATTTCAAGGCAGTTCTTATAAAAATTCTCCAAAAACAGTAAACACTCTTGAAATGAATGGAAAAGTAGAAAGTCTCAACAAAACAAAAATACAAGATATAATGAAGAACCAAGTGGAAATTTTGAACTTTGAAAATTGCAAGAACTGGAATAAAAAATTCACTGGATGGGCTCACTAGAAGAATAGAGATGATCAAGTCACTAAACTTGAAGACAAACCAGGAGAAATTATAAAGACTGGAAGGGAAACAAGCAGAGCCTCTGGGACCTGTGGGTCAATAACAAAACCTCTTACATTCATACTATCATAACCTTGGAAATAGAAGAGAATGTGCTGTAAAAATAAATATCAAGAAATGGTTGCTGAAAGCTTCCCAAATTTGACAAAAGGCAAAATGTATAGACTCAAGAAATGCAGTTAACCCCAAACATGATAAACCCAAAGAAATCAATGTCCAGACATAGCACAATCCAACTGCTAAGAATTAAAGACCAAGAAAAAGTCTTGAAAGCAACCAGAGAAAACTGACACATTATATACAGCGGAACAATGATTTGAATGACTACCAATTTCCTCTGAGAAACACAGAAGTTAAGTGGAATAACTTTTTAAAGCAGTGAATGAACTGCCAACCCAGAATCCTATATCCAATGAAAATATCCTTCAGGAATGAAGGTGAAATGTAGACATTTTCAGATAAAGGAAAACTGAGAGAATTTATTGCCACTAGAACCTCTTTAAAACAAATGTTGAAGGAAGTTCTTCACGTTAGAAGGAATATGGAAATTGAGGGGAAAAAAAAGCAACAGAAATAAAAACATCTGTTTAAACACAGTAGGCTAGTCTCCTCTTTTTTTATTTTTATTTTTGAGAGAGAGAGAGAGAGAATAAGAGTAAGAGCACGGGAGAGGGTCAGAAGGAGAGAGAGAGAATCTTAAGCAGGCTCCACACTGAGTGTGGAGCACAACACAGGGCTGGATCCCACGACTCTGGGATCAATCATGACCTGAGCCAAAATCCAGAGTTGGATGCTCAACTAGTTGAGCCACCTAGGCACCCCTATTCCCCCTGAGTGGTTTAAAACATTTTTAATGGCTGAAAGAAAAAATACAACTGTATATATTCTCATTATATATATTCACAAGATAAACATATAACACAGAGAGATACAAACACATGTGTGCATGAGGAAGAAAAGAGATTCAAATAATCCATCATGAATCAGGATGTAGAAGACAGGAATAAAAAAGAGAGGGAACAAACAGAAAACAAATAATAAAATGGTAGATCTAAATAAAAGCATAACAATAATCATATTAGATGTAAATATCTCAATGCACCAAGCAAAAGGCAAAGATTGGTTAAATGAACAAAAAACCAATACCAACAAAAAAATAACCCAAATATTTTGGTCTACAAAAATTTGTCTAAAACATAATATAGGTATGTTAAAAGTAAAAGGGTAAAGCTACACCTTGAAAATACTGATCAAAAGAAAAATCAAAGTAGTTATATTAATATCAAAGAAAATAGATTTCAGAACAAAGAAAATTATTAGAGATAAAAAGGGACATTACATTATGAAGAGTTAATTCTCCAATAAGACATAAAAATACTAACTGTGGGTGGCTAAATCAACTGAGTGTCTAACTCTTGATTTCAGCTCAAGTCATGACCTCATGGTTCATGAGTTCGAGCCCTATGTCTGCACGGTCAGTGCAGAGCCTCCTTGGGAATCTCTCTCTCTCTCTCTCTCTCTCTCTCTCTCTCTGTCCCTCCACTGCTCTCTCTCTTGCTCTCTCTCAAAAGAAATAAGCATTAAAAAACATTAACTGTGAATACGCCAAACAACAGAGTTTCAGAATAACTGTACATGAAACAAAAGATAACCGAAAGAAATCGAAATGTCTACAATATTTGGAGATTTAAACATTCATCTCACAATGATCAATAGATCTAGTGGCAGAAAATGGGCAAGACTATAAAAGTACTAAACAATATTAACTAATCTAATTGACATTAGAATTATTATATTCTAATTGCAGAATATATATATTTTTTTCTCCAAGCGCAAACTAAACATTCACCAAGATAAATCGTATCCCGGGCCATAGGATAAACCCTAACAAATTTAAAAGAATCAAAATTATACAAAGTGTATTGTCTATAGTGTACTTAGAATATAAGAACATAAAGCAAAGAGAAAAATCTCCAAATGCCAGCAAATTTAACAGCACAATCCTAAATAATTCATGAGTCAAAGAGGTAGTCTAAAGGGAAATTATAAAATATTTTAAACTGAAAAATATTAAAATAAAACCTATCAAACTTTGTGAGATGCAAATAAAGCCATTCTTCGCATCAAATTACTATACTAGACAAGAAGAAAGGTCTCAAATCATAACCCAAGCTTCTACCTTACTGGAAAAAAAGACAGCAAAGTAAATCCTAAACAAGTAGAAGAAGGAAATATTGAAGAACAGAGATTAATAAAATTGCAAATAGAGAAACAACAGAGAAAAATCAATGAACAAAAGATGGTTCTATATATCCAGAATAGATCACTACTTTAATAGGTATGTGCTATCACTACACACCTATTAAAACAGTGAAGATTTAAAAAATAAAAAAACTGAATAAACCACATGCCAGAGAGGACACACAGCAATGGGAACATTTACACACCATTAGCGCAAAACTGAACAGCTAGTAGATCTACTATGACTTATAAAAACTAGAAACAGCCCAATTATCCTTCAAGATGCAAACCGATAAACAAATGGTAATAGACTCAAGAATAAAATATCTGGGAATTAAAATGAATCAACTGTTGCTGCATGCAGCAACAACTTGGATGAATTTCAAAGACATTGTGACAAGTGAAATAAGCCAATCTCAAAAGGTTATATACTGTACCATTCCATTTGTTTATATGATCATCTCAAAAACACAAAGCTATAGTGGAGAATAGATCAGTGATCACCAGTGGTTAAGGGTGGGAGAAACTTGTAATTATAAAGAGATAGCATGAGGAAGTTTCTTTTGAAGTGGTACAACTATTCTGTATCTTGATTGTGGTTACACAAGTCTATATGTGCATGAAAATTCATACAACTCATAAAATCCTCACAATTTTTAATGACCAAAAGGTCAATTTTTTTATATATTCATTTTTAAAATAAAATACAAATAATTCTTTAAGTTTACTTTTTAAATGTTTTATTTTGGGGGCGCCTGGGTGGCTTAGTCGGTTAAGCGACCGACTTTCACTTAGGTCATGATCTCGCGGTTCGTGGTTCAAGCCCCGCGTCAGGCTCTGTGCTGACTTCCAGCTCAGAGCCTGGATCCTGTTTCAGAGTCTGTCACTCCCTCTCTCTCTGACCCTCCCCTGCTCACGCTGTCTCTCTCTCTCTCTCCTAGAAATAAACATTAAAAAAATTTAAATGTTTTATTTTTACTTATTTATCTTTGAGAGAGAGGGAGTGCACTCGAGTGCAAGTGGGGGAGGGGCAGAGAAAGGGAGGGAGAAAATCTCAAACAGGCTTCACACTGTCAGTGCAGAGCCCAATATGGGGCTCAATCTCACAAACTGTGAGATCGTGACCTGAGCTGAAATCAAGAGCCAGATGAATACTTAACCAACTGAGCCACCCAGGCGCCCATGTTTAATTTTAAAATGTAGGGTACAGGGGCGCCTAGGTGGCTCAGTCAGTTAAGTGTCCAACTTCAGCTCAGGTCATAATCTCATGGTTCATGAATTCAAGCCTCACATCAGGCTCTCTGCTGTCAGCACAGAGCCTGCTTCTGATTTTTTCTCACCCTCTCTCTCTCTCCCTCTCCCCCACTCTCAAAAATAAAGAAATATTTTAAAAAACATATAGTATACAGATGTCCCCAGAGAAGACTTGAATATGGGGCACCCAGGTGGCTCAGTCGGTGAAGTGGCCGACTTAGGCTCAGGTCATGATCTCACGGTTTGAGCCCTACATAGGGCTCTGTGCTAACAGCTCAGAGCCTAGAGCCTGCTTTGGATTCTGTGTCTCTCTGTCTCTCTGCCCCCCCTCTCTGCCTTTCAAAATTAAATAAACATTAAAAAAAATTTTTTTTAAAGACTTGAGTATGTAGGTTACAAGACTAATTTGACTACAAATGAAAACTAGGAAGATAGTAATATACTCACCGCTGCTGGCCCCTCTACAGTTTCCATTACTAGAATCCATAGGAAAATCTGAAAGTGATAGAATAAAGAATCACAATTTTTTATTATTTTGAGAATTTCCATATAAAAATCTAATTCAGTCATGAATTTAATTGGGTAAGAACCCAAATGTCTCAAGGAAGTGGATTCTTATTAGTGCCATGAGCTTGGCATTCTATTACCTACAAGTCAAATAGGGACAAGATCTATTTTATGTGATTAAAAGAGGATATACTCTTTTGAGTTCTCCTCAACTGTGCATAAAATTTCAGGATTTAATAAATTTTTGAGTATCATAAAATTTCTGACACAATGAAGTCCATGCACATATTAGGTATTCACCGAACACTTGGGTCTTGATGACTAAAAGAAGCAAACACATCTCTTCAATAAATACACAAATCACACATTACTGGCATATATTTAAATTCTTGGTGCCTAAGGAAAACATTCAGAAAACATTCTTATGCCCTTTACCTATAAACTAAACAGTTCCTCAGCAGAAAGAAAGCATAGCACGCAGGGACCAGTCAAGCCAGTGCAATTAATAAATGTAATAATTGGAAATGGTCCAGGACTCTTTCCATGATCCCGTAATCCCAGAAAATGGTAATGATTAATGATAAATAATAAGCATGTAAAGTTCTTCTGTCTTCAAGTTAAGAAAGCAGCCCGTAGGGGCACCTGGGTGGCTCAGTCAGTTAAGTATCCAACTCTTGATTTAGACTTGGGTCATGATCTCACAGTCTGTGAGTATGATCCCTGTGTCGGGCTCTGTGCTGACAGCGCAGAGCATATTTGGGATTCTCTGTCCCTCTCTGTCTCTGTCCCTCCCAAACCACCCCTCTCAAATATAAATAAATATTTTTAAAAAGAAAAACAAAGCAGCCTCTAGTGAATAGGAGTACCTCAGTGAAACACCCTGCTGAGACTTCTGAACCCAGCTATATATTCTTATTGCCACTTCAACTCAATACTTTTATATAAGTTTTAGATTTGTATTAATACTTTATGTTAAGTAATGTCAACGTCTGTTTATCCTAACAGAAAATAACTTTCTTCCTCTGTCCTTTTTCTTCATAGGATATATCATGAGTAAATGTAAAAAAGAAGTGGTTAATGCCATTTTAGGACAATAGCACTCAAAATTACTATTGATCAATTACTTTCTCAGGCTTGGTTATCATCATCAGATATTTAAAAAGCTCTATACAAGGAAAGATAGTAACCATCAAATAAACAGACAAGCAGTCAACAAATAATTTGCTTCTGAAACATTAGGTTCAACTTAGTCATATACCATTAATTTAATGACTTTTATTCTCTGCAAAGACTTCATTCTTGATAAATATATCCAAGTGTTAAATAAGTCCAATGATCATAATACACATACAACCTATAAAAAATAATCTTGCTGCAAATGAAGAAATTATATTAATCCACATGTAAAATAATTGTTTAGTGTTGAAAGGATGAAATAAAAATGAAAAATAAATCACTTCTTTTAGGGAAAATACAACCCTTTAATATAATCTAGGAAAGTGGTTTTACTTCTTCCATTCTTACAGAAAAATATTTTTTTTATTTTTAAATGTGCTAAGAAGTCAGTTGTTAGAATTATAAGGGGAAAAAAAGTTATTTGGTCATACGTAACTAATAAAAAAATTTTGTTTTCAGAAAGTTAAACTTAGGAATTCCAACAATAGCATCCTAACGTAAAATAGCAGGCATTATTTGGTTTTATGCCCCAAGAATTTCTAGTATGGGTCATAGAAGTTTCCCGAAGAAGTGTCCTAAAGGGGCTGGGGAGGTTGGTGGGGGTGGGAGGGGTATTCCACATAGAAAATCTCATGTGTAATAGATATGGAAAGAAACTGCAGTACTCACCAAGGGACCTGTAAGTCTTCCAGTGTGGCTAAAATAGAAAAAGTGTGAGCAGAGAGAAATGAAGCTAGAGAGGTAAGAAGGGATGAAGTCACGAAGCCTAGAGATAGACACCAAAGGATTTTAAGCAACAGGTTGGCATTTCAGAAAGATCACCCTGTTGGAACATAGAGGGACAATACTGGAGGTAAGCAAGCCGATTATTACCCTGTGGCTACAATCCATGTGACACATGTGGAGACCCAAACTAAGAGAGTAGCATCAGAGAAGGAGGGAAGGAAACTGGATTCAGAGTCAATCCAATAACACGTACTATCCACTGAATGTGGGAGGTAAAGGCTAACTTCTAGGCCTGAAGCACAGGTATGCCAGTGCCTCGTAACCATATTTAAAAACTATTAGAAAAGAATAGGCAGATGAGGGTAAGGAAAGAAGGAGCTCACTTTGTGGCATGATGAGATTGTGGGGCTCAGGGTTAGACAGGAGAATCTGGAATGTACTCTTATCTCAAAAGGGCAGTGAAGCAGTTATCTCATCTCTTGGAATTCCTGTCCAGAGCTGTCTTTATTCTCTTAAGCTATATGTAAGTGGGCTTTCGAAATGCAACGGACAAAACTTGATCCATTAACTGCAATCTGATAGTCAAAAGACACAGAGTCTCTCAAAACTTATGAATCCCTCTTTCTTCCTAAGACGGGAAGTGTATTGGAGAATGGTGTCTGGCTTCAATCTTCTCTCTCTTAATAGTTTAATGACCTTGCACAAATCACTTACATGCCTCAGCTTCCTTTTCTTCGAAATGGGAATAATAATACCCATATAATACCAGGTAGTTATTATAGTCACTTGAAATGCATAACACACTTAAAACAGCAGATAGAACATGCTAGCATTATTAGTTCTTATTCTGTGCTAATAATCCCTGAGAGGACATGTCCTCCTCCTTGATCACATTGTTGTTAAACACTTACATTGTGTTTTGCCATTTATCAATCACTTCACATGAATAGTCATGAATAGTTCTTTTGTTCCTGTCTGTCCACAGTGTCAATCTTTTCTTTTTTTTAATATTTTTTATTTCTACGAGAGAGAGAGACAGCATGAGCAGGGGAGGGTCAGAGAGAGAGGGGGATACACTCTGAAACTGGCTCCAGGCTCTGAGCTGGCAGTCAGCACAGAGCCCAGTGCGGGGCTTGAACCCACGAACCGTGAGATCATGACCTAAGTGAAAGTCAGACGCTTAACCGACTAAGCCACCCAGGCGCCTCTCCACAGTGTCAACCTTGAATGACTTGTTCAAGGTCTAACGTTAATGGCAAAGCTGGAATACCAACTAAGGGCCTAGAGCTCTAAAACTGTGCAATTGTAGAAATATAACCAATTCTTACTTGTTCAAAACTGTAGATCTCTTCTTTCTATACATCTAGTAGAAAGAGAAAAGCCAAATAGAACTTAGTCAGTTTTGCTATTTATAGCAATGACTATTTGGAAGTCTGGTAGGAATGAAATAAAATAAAATGAATCAAGATTTGGAGACTACATAAGATTTTATTACCTCTGCTAATTAGATTAGCTGTGATGAAATACCATAACCCTCTGAGATAGTCTCTTCCCTACCCCACCTAGAATGCCTTTCAATATTTTATGTAATGAAGGATCCTTAGGGGGCCTGGGTGGCCCAGTCAGTTAAGCATCTGACTCTTGGTTTTGGCTCAGGTCACAATCTCACAGTTCGTGAGTTCAAGCCCCATGTCAGGCTCCACAGCTGGCAGCATAGAGCCGGCTTTGGATTTTCTCTCTCTCTCTCTCTCTCTCCCCCCCCCTCCCTCCCCTGCTCACACTGTCTCTCTCAAAATTAAATAAAAATTTTAAAAAAATCTTTAGAATTGTGTTCTCTCCGGTCTTAATCTAAAATTTCCATTTCTCCTTTCCATTCCATTTTCCTCCCATCATACAAAACAATTTTTCCTTCTTGGTATTTGGCCCCTCAAATATTTGGAGACAAGGGCTGAAGAAAAGGCTGCCTGTTTCTCAGAGAGCAGAGATAGGACTACACAGTAGTGCATGCATGTGAGAGCTGGCGCGGCCCAGGCAGCAAGAGAGGGAGGGGCTGGAGAAATGTGTTGAGCAAGAATTGGGTGACAAGCTAACACTACTACAGAAACCAGCAATGATTGAGGATTGATCATAAAGCTCGTGGCATGGTGAACCACGGGTGCTGAATAAATAGCTGGTAAATATCATACCATAAGTTTTCTTAAATTCTTGATCTCTACATTTCCAAGATCAACTATTTATAACTAACAGACATCCATCAGACTCATTGTGTCTTCCTGTTGCTCCCAAAGGGATTTGTTTTTGATCCTGAGGTCCAGGTTAATTTGTGTAAAATGAAATATTAAGCTTGTGTGTTCAGAAGAAGTAAGATCTGCTTTTCCAGTTGGGTCCCATGTGAAGGTTGTTTTCCAGAGCTGAAGCAATAAAAGTTCTAGGCTGTATCTGCATTGACCAACATACCATTTCAAAAAAGAAAACATCATTTTGATACAACAATGATAATCATGGCGAAAAAGCAGTAGCAGCAGCACCAATCTGTTAGGGATGATGTCCCAGGTACCATGATCTTTAACTTCATCTTCATCTTCACCATGCCTGCGGGATGTAGGCAGTGCTGTTGCCATGGTGCAGGTCAGAAAACTTTAAACCAGAGAGGTTATATAATTTCCCTATAATAACACTTGTTAGGAAGCAGAGTCCAGATTCAACACCTGGCCTGCTGGGCTCTGACCCACACTCTTTGCAATGAGTCCTCCGATAAAGCAGTTGTGCATGAAGCCACGACTCCATAGTCAATATACAACGTAGAAAAAGAATACATTTAACGTGAATGTGTTGGTAAAATGGTCAGGATAGGATCTTTTTTCTTTCTTTTTTTTTTTTTTAACGTATTCTGGCCCTTAGTATTTCAAAAGCAAAAAGTAGTTTGAAGCATTGCTCCATTTCAACATGGACCTTTAGGTCCATGTAAACAGACCGAAACTTGTTTGTGGAATCCTACCGTGCAAGGAGCAACAGACCCATGTGAAAGGTAGGACTAGAAAATCCTCTTGGCATTGAAGGAATGTGAAGGGTGGACCCTTTTATTCGGGGAGACCTCATTTTTTTATTCAGCTAGATTCTAGTCATAAAACACAAGCGATTCTGTTTATACCTAGAGGGAAAAAAAACTGCTCATGAACTATCATATCCCACTGAACTAAGGAGTATATTGCCTCATAAATTAAACTGGCCACATATGGTAGTTACTAAGTAATTCCAGGTGCCGGACAGTTTGACCCAGGATAGGGAATGCAATTTTCAGCAAGCTAGCCTTGGAACCCAGGGCACCCCTCGGGTTAGAATCTACCTCTCCATTCCCCATACCCACCTCCCCTGAAGCTCCCACCTGCCACCAGGGTCTTGGATTCACAGTGAAGGTTGTGAGAAAGGTAGGGGGGAAGGGGGACCATCACAAAAATATGGTTCCTACTGCCACCTACCCCTACCTATTTTTCCAGCAAGAATGCTGTCAACAAAATAGCTATTATGGCATTTTAAAGCATCTCAGAAACCAGGTCCCACTTACTGACAAATTGTTTCCATGCATGTCCTATTTGAGAGCTTCAGTGAGGCAGTTGTTCTGCATTTGGTCCCCAACGATAGGTAATTCAGGGACACTTAAAGAAGCTGTTTTCCATCCTTAGTAACCACGGCTTTTGTTCATCTTGCCAAACCTCTCTCATTTGAGGTCCATCTCGAAGAGAGGTTTCGGAACAAGTCTTTTCCTTTAAGGGGAGGAAAGCATTTCAGAGTGAACCATAGCCACCTAATTGCTAGTCATTGGCCTTAGCAAAGCACCAGCGTTTAAGGGATTCTAAGTGTCTGGCAAACCAGGGCAGCAACTGACCAGGCCCTTCCAGAATCTGCACAGCCTGTGACTCAGAAGTGTTCTTGGAGCCCAAAGATTAAAAAGAAATACATTGCTTTCTGCTTACACTATTCAGCCAGTTCTTCATTCCTGATTAAAATCAAGAAAACAATAGGTATATTCAAAGAGTGATTTAAGTGAGCAGGACCATGGAAAATCTTCTGGAATCTTTCTGTTCAGTTTTGGTTTTGCAGGTATTTGTACCTTTTGCCTCTCCATTTTATGGTAAGCAGGTCAATGTGCACAGAAAACAATTTTTCCAAATCAATTCTCTGACAACCAAGAACTGTTACCTACAGATGGACTACGGGCATGAGCTTAGGCTGAGCATGTTGAGCAGCAGAAGGAGGAAAAAAATGATGCCCAGGAAATGAACAGAGGAGGCAATCGAGTCATCACATTTAATAACAGAGTTCATCTGGGGAAGGTATGAAAGAGAACCAACCATAAAAAATGTCAATCTATATGAAGGGTGAAATTTGACTTGAGAGGTAATTGGTAGGAGTGCTAGTGAGAATTAAATGAACTATAATGAACTGGGTTTAGCTGGGGTCTTCAGAGTTTTGACGGTCCTAATTAGACCAAACACTAGTGAGAAAACAACTTGTGACTGATGCGATTAAATGCAGAACTACAGTCAAGCTATCCAGTAGGGAAAGGTGAAGATGAATGTGCACACAGTACAAAGGGCATGAAACAAGGTATTAATAAAGACATTTGCAGAGAATAACAGTAAGGGTAATGGGTGAGATTAAAAATAACATTACATGAGCATATGATGATAGCACACCTTAAATATAACTCCTTTCCTCCGTATGTCACTTACAAAAGGACTTGAAGGCATGTGGGAATGTGAAAAGAGCCCAGCAATTTCACTTCGCCAGCTCTGTGGCTGGGAGCAAGTCACAGAAGCTAATTAGCAGTGCATAGCAATGTTTCACAGCTGTTTCAGTCTGGAATGGAATAACAATTTATCTCATTGAAAAGACGGGAAAAATTTAAGGTGAAGGTAATTGCTCAAACTGGACTTTGAGCAAACACATACCACTAACATCTGTGGGTTGGAGTAAGGTTACTGAAATTATCTAGGCATTTTTAATGATTAGAAGAAAATGGTGCCTCAGTTTTCTGTTTTCACCATGCAATCTTGACAAGCAGCTAAAACAGGAAATACATGGAAAATTGTACTGATTGGGTAACTGAGAATGTAAGAGAATGTAAGAGAATGTAAGAGAAAGTTCAGCGGCTGTAAACAAATTAAGAAAACAAATTAAGAAAAGATCAATCTACAAGATGTGGTTGCTTGGACACGGAAAGCATGGGAAAGCGAAGGGTCACTGTTGAGCACAAGTGTTGACGGGGAGTGGAAGGAACTGCGAGTTGTAGAAAGACAGATAACCTATGGGAATGGAGTGCATCAGTCTGGGAGAGAGAAGAAATAAGTGGTGCCCCTCAGAGGAAGATTAAGAGAAACGACCCCCCAAAAACAGTTAACAAAAACTCCGAGAAGTGGGGTGGCTAGAGGTCGGGGCTGAGGCTGGGCGGGATCAGGACTCACCCGCTCCGTCCGCGGTGACGATGGCCTCGGGAGAGATGCACACGCCACGGTCATAAACAGGCAGCTCCTCGCAGGCCAGACTCTCCGGCCACGAGTGGCGGTACTTGATGAGGATGGGCTCGCAGCCTTGCCGGGCCCGCTCGCACACAGACTTGCAGGGCTTGATGGGCTCGTGCTGGAAGTCAATGGTGCAGATGGGCGCATACATGGCACAGAGGAAGAAGAGCAGATCCGGGCTGCAGTGGGTGTCCAGTAGACCTTCGAACTGCTCGATGGCCAGGATGGCGTTAGCCTGGGTGCTGTGGTGCAGGTGGTTGGGCATCTTGGTCATGTTCCAGGGCAGGGACTTGCACAGGGGGATGCGGACGGGCTCACAGGCTGCAGCCCGTGCCCCGGGCGCCCGGAGCAGGCAGAGCGCAGCCAGGGCCAGCAGCCCGCCTGGACCGCCGCAGACCATGATCCCGGCAGGACAGGGCAGCGTGCGGCAGAGCCGAGGACGTCTACAGGCCCGCTTCACGGTCCCCTCTTCCCCTCTGGAAGTGGACACGATGCTCTGGGAGCTTCTCCTCCCCCGACGACCTCAGTTTCCTCGGATCAAATTCCCCCAATGGGGTCCCACGAGCTCCGCCGACCTCCGGCCGCCGCCGCCCCTGCTGCTCTGGCTGTTCCTTCCCGACGTCTAAGCCTTCTGGGCCCGCAGCATCTATTTATGCCTCGTTCCCTCTGGCAGAAGCATCAGACTTCGCAGGTGAATCAGATTAGAGGAAAACAAGAGGAAGCGAGGGAGAAATAAAAACAAAAGTAGAATTCAGCTGAGGCAGTTGGAGCTCTGGACTGTTACGTCCCCTGGATTATGAAAAGGTGCTAACAGAAGCATGAAATTCTCCAACGGGGGAGGGGGGAGGTGAGGGGGGAGGGGAAACCAGAGAGAAAAGACTCCTAATGGGGGAGGAAGGTGCAGTAAGAGTTTCAGATCTTGTAGGCTGAGCAAAAAAGATCCAGGTCCTGGTGTGCGCTGCCGCTGCTGCAGCAGCAATCGCCGCCTCGACGCGAGGTCTGTGCCTCAGACCCGCTGCGCTTCACTTTTCCCACCTCCTGGCCGGAGAGGCAGCTCCGCCCACCACCCCCCATCGCCAGCCCTCCGGGCGCAGTCTCAGACTCCGATGCCTGCTCCGCTTCCCGGGATGGCAGCGGGCGGGAGAGACAAGGTCTGCGGATTGGAGGCAGAGGGGAGGAAGCCCGGAGAAGCAGCCAGGTTGCCATACACAACACAGCGCTGACTGAGGACGTGCACCTCTTTCCCATCCACACGCTGGCTCCAAAGAAGAACCCCCACCCCCACCCCAGCCCCTCGCTGGAAGCCCACCCCATTCCCCAACAGAGGAGTACCCAAGTTCTCCATTTGGGAGCTCACCCAAGCACCCTCACTCCCTGGAGATAGCTTTTTAAGAAACTACCGCTTTCTCTCTGTGCCTCACCAGCTCTGCACGAATCGGACCTCAAGAGGAAGGACTTCAGCAATGTCACTTTAAAGGTCTAAGTCACAGAAAACGTAGGCCCCTGCATGCAGTGATGGAGCTTCATCAACCCAGAACTCAGGACTACAGAGGTCTGCGTTAAGAATAACAAAGTGGGGGGTGGGGGGAGGGCGTGGTGGGCAGGGGACAGCCTTTCATAAAAAGAAAGAAATGCTGTACATAATTACAAGTAGGCCACCAAAAGCAAGAAACAGCTTTTTAAAAACATTTTTTTCTTTGCCCTGCAGAATTAGAACTTTCAAGTTATGCTTCTTAGGGCAAAGAGTGAAAAACTACCTGCTTTGAAGTATCTGGTTTTTGGGTTTTTTTTTTTTCTGATTTTACTCACTAAAATAAAATGGCATTTATTATTTAACTCTTGTCACCAAGGATTTCACCTAACACGAGAGAAATATGTAGGAAAATTATACCACACAGGTAATAATAATCACGATGATGATTACAATAAAACCCTTCCATCCAAATTAGCTCAATCTAGAGAAGAAAATAGAAAACAGACCCCCTCCTGGTCTGCTCCGTCCACTAATGAGCCACCTCTTTTCCTTCCTCTCCCCCTCTTCCTTCTCAGGGCATATGGTAAATGGAATGACGGCGAGGCCCTGCACCCTGCCCTTTCACCCAGGGTAGAATGTCAGAAAACACAGCTCTCATTGAGAAGAGAAAGAAACACTAAAACAAAACAGGAAGTCACCTTTGCCCCGCATCATTGAAATATTTCACTGCTTTAATCCAGCCATTTCTCACAGTCAATAAGAAGCAGAAAAGTGATGCCCCCACTTTAGAGCACACAGGGAGTCGTGGGTTTCCATCTCCCCAGCATTGATCTGATGGCACTTACAAAACATCAGTGCTCTCTTGAGTTTATGAAATTTTCTCTCTAAAATGACCATAACAGCAGTTTGTAACTATGATAAATTTTTTCAGAAGCAAGTTTGTTCCACTTAGGAGAAAACACAACAGATGGTAGATAGGGAGTCATTTACTTGGTACAAACTTTGCCTGGTCTACAATTATTTAACGTAATGTAAGAAAACAAAGCCAAAATTAGATAAATGGATTAGATAAAAAATTATATAGCAAGTAAAATTTGGGGGAAAAACAAATTTGAGAACGTTCAATATTAGAGCATTTGTGGGGTAATTGTATTTTAAAATGTAGGTGGAATTTTCAATACATTAGAAGAAGGAAGTGAACAGTAGATCTAACAGATTGTTTGCTATATACGTTTCCCTATTTGCCATGAGTCTTTCAATGTAAGAAGAAACAAGCTAATTGTTTTTATGGTTCCACAACTGTCTGAAATAAAAGCCTGCTTTCCTTCCCCTTCACAGAAGTTAATTATTCACTTTGTCTAATGTGTCCCCTCACAATATTTCTCTAATCAAAACTTGTCTTTATCAAAACCCAAAATAAATTTCATGGCCTCCCAGAAGCCTTTCTGAGTGCACTGCCTGATTTTGTTCATTTTTCTAATTAGTTCCTCTTGAACAGTTTGTGCAAATTATTTAGCACCTGTCAAGTTATTGCTATAAAATATTTTTCTTTTGTTATTTCATTTGGGTGTGCTCTGCCTTCCTAAAAAGCATGTATGATTTTCTTCAAGAAGAGAATTCATCCTCTTTGTCTTTTCAAATAGGCATTTGAGAAATGTGAGCTGATGGAATTTAGAATGCAATATTTTGAATATTAAAACATTAATGTCTAAAAACATATAATAAATAAATGGCTGAAACAGAAATAAAATACAGGGGCACCTGGCTGGCTCAGTTGGTTAAGCATCTGACTTCCGTTCAGCTCATGACCTCATGGGTTGTGACTTCGAGCCTTGCATCGGGCTTTCTGCTGCCAGCTCAGAGCCTGGAGCTTGCTTCAGATTCTGTGTCTCCCTTTCTCTCTCTGCCCCTCCACTGCTCATGCTCTGTCTCTGCCTGTCTCTCAAAAATAAACAAAATGGTTCTTTTTAATTTAAGAAAAGAGAAATAAAATATACTTTGAATAAATAGTGTGAAGTGTGAAAAACAAGCTATGTGATCACGAAGAAAACACAAATTAGCTACAGATTACAGTCTCCACTAGTGGAAGAGCCATGTCCCTAAAAATGAGTGGCTTCCAAAAGGCCCACATTTAGAGGAAATTAAGGGAAGGTTGAAACCTGATTCCTCAGAGGAAATGGGTCATAGGTAATTTGTTTCTCTTATGTTATTTTACAGTTTTATTTAACAAGCATTGAATTGACAGAACCCTGATCCTAATGTAAAAGTGCACCAGGGCTGCATGACAGACAGCCAACTGCTTTAGGTATCTCCCCATACCTGGTAAAAAAAAAAAAAAAAAAAAAAATCAAAGTACATAATCTGCAGGAAATACATAAGTGGTTGGAGAATTGAAGCTTTTAAAGGATATTTTGACGGGCATAGCAAGAGGGATCTTTTAAAACTCACTCTTTAGAACTAAGGATGAAAATCACAGATTTCTGCAGTGGATTTTATATTTGAGAAAGTTATCAAGATGGCAAATGCAAACTATTAATATACCAATACCCTACTGAAAAATATCTTATGGACCCCAGATTTCAGGACCTTGAAAGTCTCCCCAACACACATCCAGGGCCATTTCAGGGGATATCGCAACTCAGAGTAACCATGTGGCACCCGACTCTCTGGGAGCCAACATAGCACCGTGTTGAGCACCTACTTGGGACCGTGAGACAATTCTGGGCTCAACAGCTGCTTAGGAAGTGCCCCCAGACCTAGGCATGGTCAATTAGTCTTCTTAGAATGCATCATGGCACCACGGTCGTTGGCATTTCATCTAACTTCCTGACAAGGGTTCAGTGGTGATTTCAAGAAAAGATCTTCCTGTATAGTACTGTTGAATCATTATATTGTACACCTGAAACTGATATAACATTGTAGGTTAACTACACTGGTATTAAACATTTTTTAAATAAAAATAAAATATGCACAGAAAAAAAAAAAGAAAAAGAAGATCTTTCACTGTGAAATAGCCTTCTTTCCAAAATTTAAATTTGACCAATTTAAAAAAAAAGAATTTCTGACATCTTCTATCAACAATTTAACTATTAATATTCTTTTTCATCTGGTTAAATATGCTTTAAACTTACCCCAGGTTCGTGCTTGTAAAACAATCCACATCTTTCCTTTAAGAAAATGTGCTTACATTTCTTTTCTTTTCTTTCTTTCTTTCTTTTTGAGGGCACACGCAAGCAGGGAAGGGGGGCAGAGGAAGAGAAAGACAGAGAGAGACAGAGAGAATCTTAAGCAGTTTCCACACTCAGCATGGGCTCAATCCTATGATCCTGGGATCATGCCCTGAGCTGAAATCAAGAGTCAGCCACTCAACTGACTCAGCCACCCAGGTACCCCAAAAATTGTGCTTACATTTCTACAAACAGTGCTGATATGTGAAATAATTAACAACTAGTATAGCATGGACATCAATCAGTCAGAATGACTGAGGCCAGTTCCATTCTGTTCCAATTTGGGATCAGCCCTAGGTAGCCAGGGAGCAAGGGAACTAGTGTTTCTTGAGTGCCTACTATCTGTGAGGCATATAAACAGTTTGATGCTTTGCAGGAGGTACTACTTCCAAAAAATGAAGAAATTGAGGCTCAGAGGAATGAAGGACTTTCCCAAAGTTCTCACAGCTAGATAAGGGCCAGAGATGGGACTTGCATTCATGTTCCTTCTCCAATTCCAGCAATCGCACTTTTTCCGAAGCAGAAAGGATTTGGGAATGGGAAGGGCCACAGTTTTCTGTGGACCTAGGTCTTAGCCTGAACCCCGTCCACACTGGTTATCAGACACTGGCTATGCATCTCCAGGAATAGAATGCAAAGCCTTGTGCTTTGAATGGGGAGATCTTCCTCCTTCATGGTCTCAGGCAAGCCATTCTGTGCACCTAGTAATTCCTCAAGTTCCACTTTAGGAAGATAATACCTTTCCAGTCTCCAAACAATCCAATAAAAGTTTCCCATCTGTTGGCTACATCGACATTAAGGCAGTGACTCTCAAACTGTGACATTTAGCAAAATCCCGTGCAGGACTACTGAAAACACAGATTGTGTGGCCTCGTCCAGAGTTTCTGGTATGGTGGGTCGTCTGGGGTAGGGCCTGAGAATTTGTATTTCTCATATGTTCCCAGGCCATGCTGATACTGTTGTCCAGGGACAACACTTTGAGAATCACCCTTTGGAACAAGATATGAAGCTTTGATTTGCCTTAGTAAACTTTGCATTCTATAAAGATTTCATTTTTTATGTCCTGGTTACATTTTCTTATGAGGAACTTAGAAACAAAATTTCAGTAAAGCAGCCTAAAAGCTAATTTATACTCTGAAGGGGGCCCAGGGAGGAAGAGAGGACTAGGTTTGTTTACTAGTTACTCAAAGGCCAACCTCAGAGCCCCAGTGAGAGTTGACAATACAATCAGCTGGCTCTCTGACCCTAATGTATTTTCCTAAAGGAAAAGAACACCATTCTACCCTCACTGCAACACAAGAACAAT